GATTGGCCCTGCTCTGTGCATGACAGGCGGTGGCACTGCAACCTCCCCATCGACCCTGCCTTGAGTGTAACAGGGGGCGGCACCTCAACTCCCCAATCAGACACGCTCTGAGCCCGACCAGGGGCTGCACCTAGGGATTGGGCCTGCCCTCTGCCACCCGGGAACAGGCCTAAGCCAGCAGGTCGTTATCTCCTGAGTGGTCCCAGACTGTGAGAGGGCACAGGCCGGGCCGAGGGACCCCCCCTTCCCCCCGAGTGCACAAATTTTTGTGCACCAGGCCTCTAGTATAATTATAAAATCATTTAACACATAAAATCTCTTTCACTAATTTAGCAGCAACCATGGCCTTTAAATTTTCACACAGACTGCGTTGGTAGTTTCCATTTCTAAACTGTACATATTTGTTCTAAGTTTCAATTATATTTTAAAATACACTGTGCTGTCTAATCCAACTGACTACAGAGCCCATTCTCCACATATCACCCCCCTCCCCACCCCCCCCCCCCCCCCCCCCCCCGCCACACACACACACCTATTGCATTAACTAGTCTATGGGCATTAAGCATGAGAAAGAGTAGCACATATCTTGCAAATTATACCTTTTAGTACCTAACCGTGGTTGAGCTACAAAAGACTTCTGAGTGGCTAAACATACTATTTTAATAGAAATATAATAAATTATCAAAATAAAGGTCACAATAAAACATGGGGATGCTTTCTGATAAGAAGCAGCCCATGCTTTTCATTACAAGAACTATGGATAGTAACCTTCTCAATAATATTTAGTACTTTTTTTACTAAAGATAACATTTAATATCCTATGTCTGCAACTGGATCTTTAAAATTATGAATTAAGCCAGTGAGGAGATTTATTTGTTGACTTTATTAAGCCACTGCTTATGAATAAAATGTCATGATTCAAGTTTGTTGTGCTTCCTTTATAAACACATGGGGCAACAAGCCCAGAATCCTTAGGAGAAAAGTGGGCGGGGACGTGAGTCTTCAGGGGATTCACATTATGCAATTCAGCTCTTAAGTCCATGAGAAACTATAAACATTCATGAGATCTACAAAATAAACCTTAAGTCATCAAATAGAAAATTTCTGACTAGAATTCTTCCCCTCACATCAAATGAGAAAAAAAAAACACAAAAACTTCAAGACTTAGGACAGCATTCTTTTTTTAAAAATAAGCAAATTCCCCAATCTTACATAATTAAATGCCTATGTGCACAAGAATTGTTTTCCAAAATTTAGTAGATGAATGTCTTAATAAAATTATCATAAAGTATCTATTTTATCAGATTTGAAATAAACTACTCTATTTCAAGACGTTGGCCTCAAGAATAAAATAACACCTGACAATTTGAAGAAAAATTCTCCTAAGTCTATATAAGAATAATGACTTACGTACTTAAAATGCTTTCCATGTAAAACAAATTAATATTAAAATTAAATGTAAATATAAACATGTTTTGGGGGCATGGATGTGTGTGCATGTGTGCACATATGTCTGAAAGGATGGCAGTTCTGTAATATATTATGATTCAACAATTCACTCTGACGTAGCCCACATATACGAATACCCTGGAAACCACGAGATTCATTTCCCTTCATTTTGCTTTGAACTAAAGCACACAAGCAGGGACTGAACGTTTAAAGGTTTCATTTCATATGGAAATAGTGCCATCATCTGGCCTTTGGAACTTCTTATGTATTAAAATGAAATTTATTATGGATTAGAGGCCCCAAGCACAAATTCGTGCACAGGTGGGGTCCCTCGGCCTGGCTGGTGATCAGGGCCAATCAGGGCCATCTTGCCCAGTCTTGATCAGGGCCAATGGGGGCTGGCTGGCTGGGGAGGGACCACAGAGGGCTCCAGGGTGTGTCCAGCCCATCTCGCCTAGTCCAGATAGCTAACCTACCAGTTGAAGCATCTGCCCCCTGGTGGTCAGTGTGCGTCACAGCGACTGGTCAAGCAGTTGACCTAATGGTTGAAGTATAGATCGGACACTTAGCATATTAGGCTTTTATATAGAGAGATTGTAGTTCCCTTGATAAGTTATGTGTACAGGTTATTGAGGAAAAAATCCTTAGTCTAAAATCAGTTAATTGTTAAAAGTAACCTTGAAAAATTAAGAGCATTTCCCAGCATGTCTTCAGATAGATATCATTTAAAAAAGAGACTCAGCCAGGAACCCTGGATTCTGCTACTAAATCTAAGCAGATACTGAATCTCAGACTAAGTATATAGCCACTCTGGACTTCAGTTTCCTCCTCTATAAGCTTGTTTAACTAGGTCATTAAGTTGCTTTCAGTCTAGAATTACATTGTTCTAACTTCCGGTTTTAGCATCTTAATATGGAATATAGGCTTGTCTATGGCATACTTTCCCATAGTTACCGCTTTCATTATTACAGGTCTGTTTGGTTATGCACTACACTTGAATTTTCCTCAAAAATAAATCTTGCCCTGGCTGGTTTGGCTCAGTAGATGGAGCATAAGCCCATGGACTGAAGGTCCTGGGTTCTATTCCGGTCAAGGGCACATACCTTGGTTGTGAGTTCCCCAGCCCTGGTTGGGGTATGTGTAGGAGGCAACCAATCAATGTGTCTCTCTCACATCAATGTTTCTCTCTATCTCTCTCTCTTCCACTCTCTCTAAAAATCACTGGAAAATTTGCTTGATTGAGGATTAACAACAAAAAATTTTAAAAACTAAATTTTAATTTATACTTCTCCCTGTCTAAATAGTGTTCCCCTAAACAATATATGTTAGAAAGAATGGATAGAATCCTATATAATAAAAGGCTAATGTGCAAATTGTCCCCTCGGGAGTTTGACCAACTGGGTGTTTGACTGCTCGCTATGATGTGACCATCAGGGGGCTGCATGGAGCAAAGAAAGGCCCCAGCCAATCAGCCGATTGGCCCTGATCTCCAGCCAGGCCTAAGCACCCTACCTGTGCATGAATTTCGTGAACCGGGCCTCTAGTTATGCATAAAAGTAAGTCAAAGAACTGAAAACAATTTTAAAAAAACACACCACACATTTTTGTGTAAAGGTTAATTGTGCACACTGTAGATAAGATGGGGCCAATATCAAAACAAGCACCCAAAAGTTAATGGGAAGGAGCTCCCTCCAAAGGTTCTAAAATCTAGCGTTACTGCATAAGAAACAGGACAGGCTCAGCCTGGGCAGCTTCCCTCAGATCCCACAGCCTTGGCCAATGATGCACTGTAGTGCAGACCTGCCACCTTGGACTTCTCTGCCCTGCGCTTCATCCTTCCCCCATAGCAGTCATCAACTCACCTCTCGTTTCAGTTTCGGGGTCTTGCTCTGATGTACCTCCTTACCCAAACTCCGGCATCCATCTAGTCCAGGCTCTCGGCCTCCTAGGCCTGGTTTCCTAAAATATTCGTCAGTCTTCTCCTCATAGTGCGAGTGAAGGACTTGCCTCAGACTCCTCTGGGATGCTGGTGAGAACGTCTTCCCCGAGTGCCCATGAAGGAGACCGGCACTGTCGAACAGAAATGCAACATGCGCCACATACGTAATTGTAAGTGTTCTGGTAGTCAGCTTAAAAACAGAGCAGAAGCAAGCGAAATTATTTTAACAATATATTTCTATTTACTACAATGTATGGGAAATGTAATCTCAATAAGTAAGCATTTAAAAGACACATCTGTGGTGCTTTATTTTTTATACGAAGTCTTCAAAACCTGGTGTTTTATGCGGGTAGCGTATCTCAATGCAGACCAGCACATTCCAGTGCCTCAGGGGCCCCTGTGACCAGTGCCTACCATCCTGGCTGCACCAGACTGGGAGAAAGGGGAACAGAAGCCAAGAAACTATATACTTATCAAAACACCCATCTAGACTGTTCTATACACAATTCATTCTGCAACTGCTACTGAACTTACATTTGGATAAAAAAAAAAAAACACCACTTTATGTCAATCCTCAGAACCTAGAAGTCCTGGGTACCCCCAGTTCGATCAACTCAGATGGGTGTTCAAGTCTCCCTAAAAGTGGCCTCACTTACCCATCCAGCCTGCTGGCCAACTGGGAAATGTCTGGGGTTCCTCCATGAAGCTTTCCTAGGCAAACATTCAAATGCTCATTCGTTCAACAAGTATTTGTGGGGCACCCACTACGTGTCATCATGGACCCTCCACCGAAACAGGGACCATATGACGCAAGTCATCGCGTGATTTGATTGTAACAATGCAACTGTGAGCATGACAGCAATGCTCTGACATAGCACCGTGAGATGCTTTGAGAACAAGGAAGAAGAGCAGGACCTTAGAGTCTGAAGGGGTCAAAGAAAAATTCTTTCATGCACTAACATTTAAGCTAAAAAAAAAAAAAAAGAGTATAAATGAAGTAGGAATTGGAGCAGATAAAAAGAAATTTCTAGGCAGAGGGCGGCACGTTATGAAAAGCGGTGAGGTGGAAGTAAGGACAGAAGCATGCAGGGAGCAGAGTGTCTGTAAGGAGGCTGCCTGGGGAGGTGGGAGACAGGCCCAAGTCTGTGAGCCCTCCATTTTTTCTTTTTGTTTAGGTGTGGACATTTATACACTCCTCAAAAAGTGCATGTCTTCCAAACCTTATTTATCTCTTTCATCGTCTCATAAAGCAAGACATACTTAAAACCCACTCCCTCTCTATGTAAAAAGCACAGGTATTTTGCTAGGACTTTAAATTCTGGAATCTGCAAGCTGCACTAAGAATTATTTGCATCTTCAGATCATTCACAAACTATCCTATATAACAGCGGTTCTCAACCTTGGCTGCACATTAGAATAATAAAAGCCTAATATGCTAAGTGTCTGACCTTGGTTCCACTCATCTGCCTGTTGCTATGACACATACTGACCACCAGGGAGCAGACACTCTGACACTTGCTGCTGAGGTCCCACCCGTCAGGACTGGGTGAGATGGGCTGGACATGCCCTGGAGCCCTCCCATGGTCCTGATCATGCACTCCAATCGTGCACCCGTGCCTGGCCTGCGGCCTCTGGCAATCCAGGACCCCTCAGGGGATGTGGGAAAGCTGGTTTTGGTCCCTACAGGCCAGGCCGAGGGATCTCACTGGTGCATGAATCCGTGCACGGAGTTACTATGAAACTCAGGAAGTCTCCTGGAAGTGCTGAGACTGGAGGATGTAAGAAACATTTTACTGGGTCCGTGAGCCTATCACCCCTTATGCTATTTTACTCTGGAACTGATCAAAGTCTGGCACCTACCATCTTTCAGACAGAATTCTAAGATGGCCCCAAACGGGTGGCATCTGGACTCAGAGAGCAGGTCCCTGGTAACCCTCCCCTTGAGCCTCCAGAGCCTGTGCGCACCAGGGCGCCCTCCAGGACCAGGGTCAGCAAGAGGAGACCTGACCGGCTGACCTCACCAGGTGAGCTGGGGACTCCCAGATGACAAGGCCTGCAGAAGGGCTGCGACCTGGCCAAGGTGCCAGATGACCTCCGGCCAACAGCAAGGGCCACCGTGCAAGAACCACAGCTCGAATTCTGCCACCCACGGAGGGGGCGGGGGGGGCGGGGGGGCTCGGATGAGACCCCAGGTCGAACCTGCAGGAGACCCCTGGCCTGCAGGACGCCTCCCCATCTGCAGCTCCCGGGATTCAGCAGCACAGCTCAGACCCCTTTGCAAACAGCGCGCGCAGCGGCTTCCAGGGTAGACCTGTTTCACAGTGAGCTGTGCGCGCGGAGTCCCTGACCCTGGTCTCACCCCCGGAAAGTTCCTCTGAGGCCGCCTGGCCTCCAGCGGGGAGGAGGGGGGGTGAGGGTGGCGGCCTCTCCGCGAGGCTGGGGTCCCCCTGCCCGGCCGCTTCTCTACCCCGGGAAAGCGGCCCGCGGTCAGCAGCCCGAG